CCGAGGCTGGACCGTAGTGTCCAGCTCCTAGTAAGAGTGCTTTCTTTCTGCTGTTCGTGGAGGAAATAAATACATACACTTAAAAAGGAAGAAAAGGCTGACCCCACAGTGGGGGCCATGCACAACCAGAGACAAGACGCAGAGCCTTCCTCCGAAAGGTGCTCTTCCCTCCTTCTGCCCCCACCCACTCCCTTCCCAGTCCTCTGGCTTGCCCTTCACCCGTATCCTGTCTCACAAACCCCATCTTTGCTTCCAGGCTCTTTCTGAATCATGACATTTCTGCTTCAATCTTTTTTAAGATTTATTTATTTTTACTTATTCACTCATTTATTTTTTAATTTGATGAGAGAGAGAAAGAGAGAGAGAGAGAGAGAGAGAAAGTGAGAAAGCAAGCCGCCAGGTCTGGGACTCAAACCACAGTTGGCCATGTGGGAGTGTCCAGCACCTTAGCCACCACACCACCCGCTGGTCCCTCTGCTTCAGTCTTACTTGCTGCTGTCTTACTTAGTTCCTCACAAGCTTGCTTCTAAATTTATGATAAAATAACATTAGTATAGCTCAGCTCACTTTTCAAGCACTATCACATCACTCAGAGGTAGGAGGTCATCAGATAAATCTGGGCCAGATTATAGCCGTCCTTTGCTCAGTGAGCTGTGAGTGAGGTATGAATGTACCCCAGGAATGAGAGCTTACTGAAACCGGATTGAGGAACTCGGATCAAACCCCAGCTCCAGCATCGATGAGCTGTGTGACCTGTGTTGAGTCATAGAACTTCTCTGTGTCTTTATCTCTTCTCAGCACAGTTTTCTTTTCTTTTTTTCTTCTTCTTTTTTTTAACTCTATTTATTCAGAGGAACAGAACAAGAGAGAGAGAAACAGAGAGAGCAAGCCACCAGGTCCATGAACTGTGGTTGGCCATGTGGTAGTCCAGCACCTTAATCACCACGCCACCTGCCAGCCTCTCAGAGTAGTTTTAAAGATCGAAGTGATTAATATAAGACGAGATGTATACAAAGTTTCCTGGCATATACTAACCACTGGACAAGGGTTAAGTATTATTTATTAGAAGAAAGAGGTGCCATTAAATAACAATTTTAAATCAAGTCCCCATTACTTGCTTTACATGTTGATCAAACTATGATTTTATAATTGGCTTCCTTGTGTAACTTTCCAACAGGGATACAATCCACTAGTTAACAGCAAGGGTAGGTCCAGCCATGGCAGAACCATGTGCTGAGAACCCCACGGAGCCCAGGCTTTGGTTCCTGAGCCGACCGCACCCCGGTGCACATGTGAGCCCATGGTCCTGGCTGGCTGGGATGCTGGAGGTAGGTCTCAACAGGACACCTTCCTGAGGACGCTTGCCTTTCTCTCTCTAAAACATAAATAAACTTTTAAAAATAAATAAATAAAAATGATATAGTGAGAAGATTGTCTCCTCGCATCACTAACTAGTGGACCGCCGTTCTGTACAACAGCAACTCGGCATCTCTGAGCCTGCTCAGCGAGGGGCACCACGAACCTTGCAGGGTGGCCCTGCACACGCGAGCACACGTCGCTCGATGGCAGAGCATTCCACCGGGAATTTCCACGTGCCCATGTTTCAGCTCCCTCTAGGGAAGTCTTTCCTTAATGTCATTGTCACATTGCACTCAGCACGAGGCCACTACAGCCAGCCTTCCTGTGCCTCCCTGCCCTGAACATGCTTGTCTCAGGCAGACGCTGACGTCCACATAGTCTCATCACCTTTCCGCTCTCCCTGGTGCTCTCCACAGAGCACGGGAACCCACACTTCATGTTCTAGCTCTGCTCTGGTCCAAGTGTTCCTCACTGCCCCATCCCCTCTCTCCTCTATTTCCTCTACTTTCTGCCATGTTATGTTTCTTAATTTTTATTTCAGTTCCTTTCTACCTGAGATCCTTGAGTTAGTCTCCTAAGTCCCAGAAGAGAACTAAGATTCTCCAAGGTCGTCACACCAAGCACAGAAGCCACTGGCCAGTCCCTGCCCCATTGCCCCATTTACGACCAGCTGTATCCCAGCCAGAGTCAGTGTTTGCAGGACAAGAGAAGGGACCCCAGGGCAGTGTGCCCCAGGGAGTGTGAGTGGGCAGGCATCCTTTAACTATGTCAACTTCTTTGACTTACTTAAAATTCTAGGAAATAATTTGTGTTTAATAAATCTTATTGACTGATTCATTGCAAAGTTGTCAAAGAAATAGCATGAGTACAGGAGGTTTTAGGTGAAAGAAAAAAAAAACACACTTTGGAAATGATTTCTGCAGCTGTGAACAATGTTCTACTCAAATCCCCTGAAATAACCTTTTCACAGCCCTGGGCTGCATTGCCGGTGGTTGTCACACCACAGAAACCGCCAGGAGAGTTGGAGTAAAGAAATGAACTGGGACATGGGAAACACGAAATTTCTGCAACCTTTTACTTCCAGGACGATGCCCTGCGAATAATTTCTTGAGCTTAAAAGGTATAGTTAAATGTCCCTTTTTATCAAATAAAAAGCTGCATTGGCTAATGAGTAGTCCAAATTTTGTCCACTTAAGTTTCTGAATCCATGAGTAGCAGGTAATGGTACTCAATGGAAAATTTTCCACAGACAGGGATGCTGTCTTGGGGACTCGCTAGCCTTGTAACTTCGAGCGACTCCATTAGCCTTATTCTGGCATTTTCCTTAAAGTTATTTTTTTAGGGACCAGCAGGTAGCATAATGGCTATGTCGCTGGACTCCCACATAGTCGACCACGGTTCGCGTCCCAGACCCAATGGCTTGAAACTCACGCCGGGCGCATGTGAGTGCCTGCCCAAGATCCCGAGAGGAGAATGGGAGAGAAGGGATTGCAGCATGGCCATCCCCTTTGGGGGATGATTTTGATCATCGCCTCTGGGGGTGATTTCTCGCTTTCTGTCTCTCTGGCGCTCTCTGTCTGTCTGAGGAGTGCATGTGCCCTATGGCAAAAAACCTCTCAAAAAAAAAAAAGTTATTTCTTTCTTTCTTTCTTCCATAAGACAGGGAGACAGAGAGAGAGGGAGAGGGCGAGAGAGAGGCATCTCCAGGGCCCTCACACTGCCTGCTCCTGCAGCCTCAGCCAGCCAGGGCCGTGAGCAGGGTGCATGTGCACGTGCCCAGCATGCAAAGGGAGACCTCAGGGTACAAACCAGGACCTTCCCACAGGCCTCAGAGCACAGTTCTCTGCCGGCCCACACAACACTGTATCCACCTAACACAGAAGCAGCACGTGAAGGGGGTTTTCTACCCCTAAAATACTGAAGCAGATTTGTACTAAACACAAGTTCTAAATTACAATTTTGTAAGGCCTCTGAAAGAAATAGATTGACCAATACTGTGACCCACAGAAAGAAAGGTAAATATTATCAAGAGACCACTTGCCTCACATGTAATGTATCTCAATTTAATCTCTATTGCAACCTTCTACAGAAAGGAGTATTATCCCAATAACCAGCATTTTAAAAAGTTTATTCATTAATTTCTTCTGTGAGTGAAAGAAACAGCCTCCCAGCATGGTCCTGACCCACAGTCACTTCCACCCTGCTCACCCTGGGGCACCTCATGTGTCACGCACTCCAGGGAGGCTCCTGGACACGAGGCCAGAACCTTCCCATGGGCTCTCAGAGCACAGTGTGCTGCTGCACCACAAGGCCCCTTGCATACCAACAGCACAGACCTGGGAGAGCTAATTCTGAGAGGGTAAATCAGACCCAGACCCAGATAGGATGTGTCTGTCTCACACCTGACTCACAGCATCGTTCATACCCAGGGACAGAGGTCAGAGATTCCGAATACTGTGGGGAGATTCACAGTGACCTGAGGAGTTGAATTATAAACATCAAAGGCAGTGGTTTCCAAATTGTCTACTATCAGCAGCACAGAGAGCTTTTTAAAACAGAGATGATTGGACCCAAACCTGGAGTTTTTGCAAACCTAGAGCTCTTGGATGACTTTCTGAGTCCTAGAAACACTGTGTGCTGCTCCGCATGACCCAGCTCCCCACAGGCTCATTTTACAAGAATAGCCAAGGGAGTTCTTGCTTTGGGGTGTGGGATGGTAATTAATCTGCATATAGCACACTTCTCTTTGAATATTTACAGCTATTTAAAATAAAACTGTTGAAAAGACCAGCTATTGGGACCAGGAGATCGCTTATGGTTACACCACTGGACTCCCACACAGCCACCCATAGTTCGAGTCCTGGACCTAGAGGTTTAAAACTCATGCCAGGCATGTGTGCATGTATGCCCAAAATCCCAAGAGGAAAATGGAAAAAGGGGTTGCGGCATGACCAACACTTCTGGGGGGGTTGATTTCTCACTTTCTGTCTCTCTCTCTTTGTCTCTCTGGCAAGTGCATGCACCCTATGACAAAAATCTCTCTAAAAAACAAAACAACAAAAACAAAACACAGCTATTAGTTTTATCAGATGTGTATAATTTGCTCTGTTCTTTCCAAAGACTCCTAACTCTAGTTAGCTCTCTTGCAAACACTTCAGCTATGAGAAAGGACCAAAGAGGGTGCACAAATAACTCTGTTCAAACTCTTCCCTTTCAAAAAGCAACTCAAAAGACATTTGCTACTCAAGGAGAGAGTTTATTTTCAGGGCACAGTACTGTGATTTTACTCATACTGACCCCTCCCTCTGTAAAGCCTACCAGAGTCATAAATAAAGGAGTTCTAAAAAAAGAAAAAGCCAGTCTGTGTCTCACTTTTTATTTGACATCAGTCATATGCTCTGCACCGACAGGGCCTTTGTCAGGTTGGATCAGTTCACAGGGTCCCCTGCAGCTGTGGCTAAATCACAAAGATAAGGAAAACACAAGCCAGGGCAGAGATATTCTAAAGGAGACAGCTTTGGAGTGAAGCCACTTCACAACCAGAGAGCAGAGAACAGTGTCCACTCAAATGCATGACGCCCACTGCGTTCACTCTGCTCGGGATACCAGTCCTCACTGGTTACAGACACAGCTAAGACAGTCCCCTCAGGACTGCAGTGCCCCCTCATTTAGGCTGCCCGTGCCCCTCTCTCCCACCGGAGGAGTGTCTTTATGGCCCCCTTCACGTCCTTGTTCCTCAGAGTGTAGATGAGAGGGTTGACGCTGGGCGTGACGATGGTGTAGAAGAGAGTGAGGAACTTGCCCTGGTCTTTGGAGTAGCTGCTGGCTGGCTGCAGGTACATGTAGATTATGGTCCCGTAGAAGAGGAAGACCACCGCTAGGTGAGAGGAGCAGGTGTTGAAGGCCTTCTTGCGCCCCGACGCTGACTTGATCCTGAGCACGGCGGCAGCGATCAAGCCGTAAGAGAGGAGGATCAGGGAGAGGGGCACCAGGAGAAGGGCAACCCCCAAGGCAAAGGCAAACGCCTCCACCAGCATGGTGTCCTCCCAGGACATGGCGATGAGAGCAGGCATCTCACACAGAAAGTGATCCACCCTGCGACGCCCACACCGGGAGAGCTGCATCGTCTGAGGACACATGACAAAGGAGTTTAGAAAGCCACAGCACCACGACACAGCCACCAGCTGCAGACAGAGGCGTGGGTGCATGGCCACAGCGTAGTGCAGCGGCCGGCAGACAGCCACGTAGCGGTCGTAGGACATGACGGCCAGGAGGACACACTCCGTGGAGCCCAGGACCATGTAGATGTACAGCTGGGCCTCACAGCCGTGGTAGGTGATGGTCTTGTCTGGACCCCAAAGGTTCCAGAGCAGCTGGGGCACAATGCTGGTTGTGAAGCAGAGGTCCAGGAAAGACAGGTTGCCAAGAAAGAAGTACATGGGTGTGTGGAGCCTGGCATCTGAGACCGACAGGAGGATGATGGCAGTGTTGCCCACCAGGGTCAGGATGTAGAAGACCAGGATAAACACAAAGAGAACCATCTCTAGTCGAGGACGATCGGAAAAGCCCACCAAGATGAATGCCTGCAGGCAGCTCTCGTTGTCTCTCCCCGTCATCTTCACTAGCTGATGTGGAGAAACAAAATAGCTGGCAAGAGGCCAAGTGAAGACGTACCCAGGACTTTCATTCCACACACAGGCCTGCGAAGTCCACAGGCACAGGCCCTTCCTTTGCTCTCGTGGAACATGCACTAATTAACGCTCGTTGCTTGCATGTGCCAGGTCTGGACAGCAGAGGCTAAGGCAACTCTGGGGCTGCCCAGCCAGGCCCGTTACCTGGGTG